GGGTTTGGGGACCTAAGTGGGAGATTTGGAGATGGCATTTGCTGGCTTCAATTGGCCCCTGACCAGGCCCTGAAATAAGGAGAAACACTGTATTACAGGCTTCCTCAACCTTGGCCCTCCAGATGTTTTTGGCCTACAGCTCCCATGATCCCTAGCTAGCAGGTCAAGGATGCTGGGAATTGTAGTCTCAAAACATCTGGAGGGCTGAGTTTGAGGAAGCCTGCTGTATTATGTTGCCTTATTCTTATCATGCGAAAAGGTCTACAATTTTGATTTTCATCTTTGCACCGAGCAGAGGAGAAATAAAATGGTGGGGGAAGAGACATGATGTTTCATGTACGATGGGAGGCTATAAATACATTTCTTTTTTAACCCACCTCTGTTGTTGTCATGTTTATTTGACATTGAAAAGTTGGGAAGTAACCCAGACATATGGAGGCTGCCGAAAATAAATATATTAAATTCATTAAGCGCATCAGCCCCTTCCTCTCTTGATGGAAGAAGTGGAGTGAAAATAAGAGATACTTTGCCAGTGATGCGTGCACATTAACGGTGGGTAGGATGGAGGAAATTAGTCACTTCCCCGTCATATATGTTCATAGCGATACAGGTGAGATTATAAAAATAAATACAGGGAAATTCACCAAAGGAATAATACCACTGCAAAAGGGAATAACTGAGGAGAATGGCAGCTACATGTCCCCGCTCCCCCCAAAAGCCACAAGCATTTGGCCCTGATTCAGAGCATGCTTGATCCTCTTCATGTGTTGCTTGAGATACTCCTAAAAGTAATCCTCCCCACCCACAAAAACACACAGTTGCATCCTGTGCTTTTCCCCCCGGGGGTACGCAGGGGTACACGTTGTTGTTTAGTCGTGTCCGACTCTTCGTGACCCCATGGACCAGAGCACGCCAGGCCCTCCTGTCTTCCATTGCCTCCCGCAGTTTGGTCAGACTCATGTTGGTAGCTTCGAGAACACTGTCCAACCATCTCGTCCTCTGTCGTCCCCTTCTCCTTGTGCCCTCCATCTTTCCCAACATCAGGGTCTTTTCCAGAGAGTCTTCTCTTCTCATGGGGTAGCCAAAGTATTGGAGCCTCAGCTTCAGGATCTGTCCTTCCAGTGAGCACTCAGGGCTGATTTCCTTCAGAATGGATGTGTTTGATCTTCTTGCAGTCCATGGGACTCTCAAGAGTCTCCTCCAGCACCATAATTCAAAAGCATCAATTCTTCGGCGATCAGCCTTCTTTATGGTCCAGCTCTCACTTCCATACATCACTACTGGGAAAACCATGGCTTTAACTATACAGACCTTTGTTGGCAAGTACACATACCCCTAAACATTTTGTGAATCTTTGTACTTTTGTCCATTTACTGTATTTATTTCCCCTGATTTGAACTATCAAATGGTGGTTTTCTTGAGTCAAAATGAGAGTACCCCTAAACATTTTTTTAGAAGAAAAAAAAAGTACTGGTTGCATCACCCAGATTAACTGCCCCCATGTTTTTACACTCTCCCCCACTCTATTCTGTGGGGAAGCGATACCATGAAAGGAAGGGTTGCCTTCTCGTTTATTTTTTAAAAAAGCCTTTGTTAATGAAGTCATTGCTTCAACAGTGGAACAGTCTCCCTTGGGAAGTTGCACAAAGGTAAACTTTAGATTCATTGCTCTGCTCACTTAGCCTCTGACCCAGTGGCGTGCAGCGATTTATTTTATTTTTTTGGTAGGGGAACAGTTAGAGCCAGAGACACCAGCTTGCGAGGGCAATTGGGAGTGTGGAACATCATGCGCGTGAGCATCGTTCCTCCCTTCCTAAGCCGAGCAGAAGCTTCCCAGACTTTGGGAAGGAAGCACCAGACTTTAATATTTTAATACTCTAATTTACTGGGAACATTTAGGGGACTGGCTTTGTCCCCCTAATCCACTGACCACACGCCACTGCCATGTGGCTGCTGTAATGTTGAGTAGGGGGAAGGTGCCCCTTGGGGTTAAAAAAAAATCCCCACCTGAAGTGTAGGTGGGTTCCCACGAGGCAAGACACAGTGATAACAGCAAGAACCTTTATTGAATTAACAGAACAAGGCAACGGGGGCAAAGCAACTGCTTATATGCATTTCTGAAGCCCTGGGCCACTCCCACTCCCAACGTGATTGGCTGTCTAAACTTCCAAGCTGCGAATCATGACTCAGAGTTTAAGGGCCAATAGCAGAGACCAAAATCTTGAAATGTTCTGTGATTGGATACCGTGTATCGAATCAGAACACAGGGGCTCAGAATCCTGAGTCCAGACTCAAGCTCAGGCAAACACAGACCACTGAATACGTAACACCACCCATCCCTACAAGTGAGCAAGGGTGTTCACCTGGGACAGCGTCCCAACTCATGGTGTCCCTCCATCAAGGGTTTCAGCCATGGCCTACTTGGACAGTGTCTCCTGTGTTGTGTCACTGAGGTGATCTCAGTCCAGATGCTATTTCATGGGCACTCCAGCTGAACATGGTCACTTTAGTGAGGCAGGCACATAGCATTTGTCCCATCAAGACTGAGGGAGTTATATGACTTCCTCAATGTGCACCATATTCCTAAATAATAATAATAATAATAATAATAATAATAATAATAATTTATTTATACCCCGCCCATCTGGCTGGGTTTCCCCAGCCACTCTGGGCGGCTTCCAACCGAATATTAAAAACAATACAGATCAGACATTAAAAACTTCCCTAAACAGGGCCATCTTCAGTTGTCTTTTAAAAGTAAATTAGTTGTTTATTGCCTTGACATCTGCTGGGAGGCCTTCCACAGGGCAGGCGCCACTACCGAGAAGGCCCTCTGCCTGGTTCCCTCTAACCTCACTTCTCGCAGCGAGGGAACCACCAGAAGGCCCTCGGAGCTGGACCTCAGTGTCTGGGCTGGATGATGGGGGTGGAGACGCTCCTTCAGGTATACTGGGTCGAGGCCGTTTAGGGCTTTAAAGGTCAGCACCAACACTTTGAATTCTGCTCAGAAACATACTGAGAGCCAATGAAGATCTTTCAGAACCGGTGTTATATGGTCTCGGCAGCCACTCCCAGTCACCAGTCTGCTGTAGGCCACATCTAGTTCCAATTACAGGAACTGTAGTTTGGGAAGCGTGTCAAGAGTTAAGGGGCCCCTATTCCCCTCCCCCCGAGCTACAGTTTCCAGAGTTTCCTGGGAAGAGGAATTTCTTGTTAAACCACTCTGAGAACTGTGAGGAGAATGGGGGATGCCTAACAACTATCAGCATCCTTAGGAAACCACAACGGACTCATGGGCCAGCCAAACAGGGACCTTGAGGCCATTCCCAGGGATCTTGGGCAGTTAACTTCCAAACAAATTCCTGCATCGCAGGGGGGTTGGGCTAGATGATCCTTGGTGTCCCTTCCAACTCTACAGTTCTATGATTCGATGAAACTACAGCTACCGGAATTGCCCTGGGGGAATTCTCCATGATTGTGGGGATCAGCGCTTTAAATATATGGAGTGAATGTGGCCCTGGTCTTTTCTTAGCTCCGAGATTGTCACTTCCCATCTGGTTTCCTTCCTGGGAAAGTCTTTGTTTCCCGGCATGCACTGGTAAATGTTTCATGACTAAGAATGCAGCAAAACGTCTCTGTCTGCCTCTCCCCGCCCACATAGAAATGATGCAAGTGGGAGGTAAGGACTTGTTTACTTCTCAGATATACGAACATGCATGAGTGGACACAGTGAGCGAGAGATTCATTATCTCCTCCCGCTATATTTTTCTGCTACCTTCCCTACCATTTTCCTGTTCACGGGGGCAAGCTCCATGAATCAGCACTGTGACTCTCCCGCACACCTCCAGCTGTAAATCTAGGCACTGTGTGATTCAGCAACATGTGGATGATGAGCTTGGGTGTTTGTGCACAGATATTGCACATATGCGATGCTCACCTCTCCTGCCTGTGACGGCTGGGCCAGAGTCAGTCCCAAAGAGAAAGTCTTGCCTTCCCTGCAACAGCATTCCTGAATAAGGATGCTCAGCTGTTTATTTTTTCTTTTCTTTTTCCAAATAATCTTTATTAGTTTTTCAATTAGATACTCCACAGACACATATTGTATTACATTTTACATTTAGACTTGCTCTTCAGAGCTGACTTCCCTCCCTCCTTCTTCTGGTTTTTTATATCACATATAATTTTACCGCATTATTTTCTTCCATTTTATATATTGTTATTCATTTTCCATATTTGTACATAGCGTATCAATAAACAAATAAGTCCTCATGTTTATACAATTCTTGTTGTCTGTCTGTATTCATTTACCACTGCTAGTTATATTAGTTTCCTTATACATTTTGCTTCTTATTATTTTCTTTATCCATCACTTTTCTTAATCTTTCCCGTTATGAGGTTTGTTTCCAATTCTACTGGTTTTACTATTTCATCTTATCTTTCCTATATACAACATAAATTTTTCCCATTCTTTTTGAAATGTTTCATCGCCCTGTTGTTGAATTTTCCCTGTTAGTTTGGCTATTTCTGCATATTCCATTACCTTCTGTCGCTTTTCTGTTTCTGTTTCTTTCTTCAATCAGTCTGCATTTTGAAGTGAACTAATCTGATTTTAAGACAGCTAATCTAATTCCTCGGCTAATATGTGGATCAAGAGACAGTCGTCCTTAGGTTCTTGCACATCTCTAGGTTTTCTAGTGCAGTTCTTGGCTAGCTCCCTGCTCCCAACAATCCATAATACTCCTGTCCATCCAAATTGTGCATGGCAAGCAGGAACAAGGAAGGAGGAGTTATTTGATTTTGCTCGCTTTTCAGTGACCTGATTCCCACTTCTTGGACCAATATACACACTGACCTTCAATATTCAAACTTCTCTGAACTTTGCAATGCCGTTCTCCCACCAAACAATATGTACAACGTGCACTATATTGGGGGGGGGGGACACATGTGCATTGAAATTGAATTAGTGGGAATAAATGCATTATATTAGGGGAAATTGCTGAGCCTGGACAGCTCAGTTGGTTAGAGTGTGGTGCTGATAATGCCAACGTTACAGGTTTGATCCCCTTATGAGACAGCTGCATATTCCTGCAATGCAGGGGGTTAAACTAGATGATCCTCTTCCAACTCTTATGTTTCTATGAGTGTGTTGGCTAAAACTGCATACAAAATAGATCAGCAAAAAGATGCTGATGATATTTTCCTGAGCTGTTTTTTTTTATCACTTTCTCTGAAAGTGTGAAACAAAATTTAAGATTGAATGAAAGATGAGAAACCGAGAAAATGAAAATTGACAGATTCATCCATCCCTAGATGGGACCGAGTCCACCCTGTCCTGTTTCCATGTGAAATCTGTGCAGAAATGCAGTTATTTCTGTAACAAAATAAAATAAAAATAATAAATATTCTTACAAAGCTGTCCAAGGGCTGCAGCTTTGCCTCTGATTCCCCCCTGCTCCCCGCCTTTTTAATAATAATAATAATAATAATAATAATAATAATAATAATAATTTTTATTTATATCCCGCCCTCCCCAGCCGAAGCTGGGCTCAGGGCGGCTAACAACAATCAAACAATCAAATAATCCAACATTCTAAAAACATTTCATTATAAAAATTAATTAAAATCAAATTAATGGCAACCGTTAAGCAAAATTCTGTGCAGGTTGCCAGAGGAGGGAGTCAAGCTGTGCCCTGACCAAAGGCCTGGTGGAACAACTCTGTCTTGCAGGCCCTGCGGAAAGATGTCAGGTCCTGCAGGGCCCTAGTCTCTTGTGACAGAGCGTTCCACCAGATTGCAGCCGCAGCCGAGAAAGCCTTGGCTCTAGTTGAGGCCAGCCTAACCTCTCTGAGGCCTGGGACCTTCAGGATGTTTTTATTTGCAGACCGTAGGTTCCTCTGTGGGGCATACCACTCCAAAGGGGCATACTAAAAACTCCAAAGCTAGTTGATCCAGACTGTGGTCAGCTGGCTGACCTGTTTTGGAGCTTTTTGTAAGGAGGCGAAGAACCAGTTACCAGACAGGAGCAGCTGTGTAGCCCTTGGAAATACAGGACTGTGGATTCTGAAGTGAACCAAACCTATGATCTGCCTGGACTGAATCAGGTTAGCCTGTTTTTGAATCTGATTTCTGCAGATTCATCTCCCATTTCTCCTCTGGACCCAGTGAGTGTATCTGGAAATGTAATTTGTGACTTATTTTTCATCTACCACACCCAGAAAACACACACCCTTCACTGATTTCAGTAGGATTGCTTTAAATGATTTTATCCAAGTCTTCAGTCAGAGAAATAAAGAGTGAATTTACCCAGTGGGGGAGGGGGAGCATAGGGTGTAATTAGCACCCTCTGTTTGATGAACAGGTTCCCACATCTTTAAGTGAACCCCTTTCCTGCTTTCAAAATGGTGTTTGATGTTGCTATCACAGGGAGGACTTCAATATCAGATCACATCAGTGCAGAATACAGGTTTTTTAAAAAAGGAAATGTTTATTAACCTGGATCAGAGAATAGCCTTAGATCCTACATTAGCATCTCCATTGACTCTTAAGTATTTTTACCCAAATTTTACTGCCGGGAAAAAAGGAAGGAAGTTTGAAATACTTCTCCATCTTGGCTTCTGCCGTTCATTATATATTTGGTAAGGACTCATCAAATCTGGTGGGATTCCTCCTTTGGTCAAAGGCTGCATGCTTCTGAATTCCAGTTGTTGGAAACTACAGGACTTTCCTACAGAGGAAGGGCATCAACAGTGCTGGTAAGCTTTTCCTATTCCCACCAGGGGTGATAAATGCAATGGTGTGCTGGCTGCATTCTTCTTTGGGGTGGAGGTTCTTAACTTCAATGGGTATTCATGCGTCTACCAGTTGGGTGCACAGCAAAATGTTCTCCCTCTCCAAGGCTATAGAATGCCAGTGAGTCACGGTGATTCGATTTAATTTGATTGAGAGATGAGTGAGGTGTAGGGGTCATTTGCAAAAATCAAGAGGTCTCAGGCCTGTTGAAAAGACGATGGGAACACCCCACTGGTCGAAGCTAATGGAGAGCAGCTAGGGGATGTCTGCTGATTTCTTATCCTAAGTAACAGCCTCTGTGACTCAACCTCCCAAATGGAGGTTTGGGAGTGAATGTACTTAGACAAATAGGAGCCACTGCTGATCTCTTCCAAGCCTTGTTCCTGAGGTAGATCGTTATTTACCCCTTGTTGCTGATGCAGATCTTCATTTTCCCCTTCTTCCTCAGTGGGGAGGAGAGCACCATTTTGTAGTTTGCCTCAGGTGCCAAAATGTATTGGGCCAGCCCTGTTTAGAACGGCGGTAGGACTCACCGTCTTGGTGACAATATGCTATGCATTGCCACTGGAAAGTTTAAAGGGAAAACACTAGAATATTGCACTGGAATGCAGCCTAAGGCTTCAGTCCTACCCTCCCCCCTTACCTGGGAGTGAAAATGATGATGATGATGTTCCCTGCCCATCTGGCTGGGTTTCCCCCAGCCACTCTGTTTAAGCTCCACCAAATTCAGTAGGACTTATTTCTGAGTAAACATGGTTAGTATTATACTTCGCTACTGTTTTCTGCTTTCGGTGATGTCTCAAGAACCAACCCAGCTCCCATATGATTTTGGTTCCTTGTTCATCCGAATGTGTTACAGAATGTTGAAAAACCTGCCAAATATCTCCTCAACCCAACTTGCTTCCTCTGAGGATTCCTACTGAAAACACACTAGCTTCACAGTGAGCTTACTTAATAGGATTCAAGTGGCCTTATCTGGATACCCTGGCATTATAGTTCTTAAATCATTGCTACACTGGCTATTCTGACCAAGTCAGAGGGAGCTGAATCAAAGCTTCAAAAATTAACTCACTTTGGATGACATGCTGAAGACTCTTGAACACTGAATGTGCAATATGCATCAACATGGCAGCTGTGAAGAGTAATAATAATAATAATAATAATAATAATAATAATAATTTATTATTTCTGCCCCACCCATCTGGCCAGCCACTCTGGGCGGCTTCCAACAGAAGGCTAAAAATACATTAAAACATCAGTCATTAAAAACTTCCCTAAACAGGGCTGCCTTCAGATGTCTTCTAAATGTCATATAGTTGTTTAATTCTTTGACATCTGATGGGAGGGTGTTCCACAGGGTGGGCACCACTACCGAGAAGGCCCTCTGCCTGGTTCCCTGTAACTTCACTTCTCACAGTGAGGGAACTGCCAGAAGGCCCTCGGAGCTGGACCTCAGTGTCCCGGTTGAACAACAGGGGTGGAGATGCTCCTTCAGGTATACAGAGTGTAAGGCGAGCCTTTTAAGATCCTGACACAACTATACCTGGGAGAAGTGGGGGATAAATCTGATTCAATCCACATTTTAATGCAAGCTGACCTAATTTGCACTTCTCAAAGCAACACATGGTTCAAAATGTAGCTATCCTTCAAAAACACACTTCTCAGCATTTTGTGATTCGTGGAGGGTAACACTATCAGCAGCTACTAGTCATGATGGTTATGCTTTTCCTCCATGGTTGGAAGCAGAATCAGGGTTGCTTCCGAATATCAGTTGCTGAAAACCTCAGGAAGGAAAAGTACTCTTGTGCTCAGGTTCTGCTTGTTATGTTTCAAAAAGACTGGTCATATTATGGCTCTGAATGTTAAAGATACAAAAGTTCAATATACATAAAATGCTGTGATCAAATGCATTGTATTTAAAATGATTGTAGAGAAGTTTAAATTAGTTGAAAGCTTTTACTTTAGCTAATACAGTAAAGCCAAGCAGCTATCCCCAGCAGGAATTTGAAACCTGAGAAACTCCGCTGCCTTTGCCTTGTGGGAAGCCAGCAGAAAGATCACCAGATCAGATTATTGGGAGAAGGAGCTTCCAGAATAATTGAGGCTCTCTCTGGGATCAGAGAGAGATGTTCCTAGGCTGTATTAAAGGAATGAACAGCTTTGCCTGCAATACATTACTTTGTTCTTAGTAATGTTCAATTGCAACTAGTTTTAAGACTGTTCTGCAGTAAAGCTTTTGGAGGTGGAAAGCTCGTTCATTTCTACAGAAAGTCCAGATCAGGGATTGATTCCGCTGAACAACTATTAACACTGAAGACTCTTTCAGGGCCAAAACAGACAAGGCAGCAGGATACCTAGGCCTACAACTCTCACCATTTCCCCCTAAAGCTTAAGAGCAAATAGAGACAGAGGAATAAATTGGGTCAGGGCCACGTTGCTGCAGGAAGATTTTCATTTGTACCATTTTCCTGAGACTGCCTAGTCTAAATCAAGCATTCTCACCACTGCACCATACTGACTCTCAAATATCTCTGTAAGCCTTGATACACCATTCCTTGCCCTTCACAGTGTTGGTGTTACAGATCTGTGGGTGCTAAATGGTTGGATTTTTATAACTGTTGGGATTTGATTAGAACTGATATGTAAGGATGGAGGGATAGCCAGACCCAAGTGTGTATATGGGGTGGTGAGAAGTGTGGTGGACCCACTCATAAAAAGCTAGTTAAATAGGCATACTTGCTGGGCTGTGTATTAGGGCAGTCATCCTAGCAAATCAACAAGTGTTAATTGAAAAGACTAATTTCCTTGTGAGGTGACTGCCTGGGGGGATAGACCATTCGAAGTTCAAAGCATCAAAAGTGCTAAGTGTGAATAAGGTGTGGAAAGCTAATCCCGTTTGAGGTAATGAGCTTTAGCACATCAAAGGAGGGACCTTCCTCTGGGTTATAAAAGAGGCCAGAACTTAGGCTAGCAGTGGAGTTATGGGGTTGGAGTTGAGAGTGATGCAACCAGGAAGCAGAGATGGAATAAAGTGGTGCGCTTTGGGATGATGATGCTGTGAGCCCCTCCAGTGGAGGTTGTAAAAAAGGCAAAGGTAAAGGGACCCCTGATCATTAGGTCCAGTCATGGCCGACTCTGGGGTTGCAGCGCTCATCTCACTTTATTTGCCGAGGGAGCCGGCGTACCAGCTTCCAGGTCATGTGGCCAGCATGCCTATGCCACTTCTGGCGAACCAGAGCAGCACATGGAAACACCGTTTACCTTCCCACCGGAGAGGTACCTATT